AAAAAAAAAAAAAAAAAAAACAAAGAAAAATTGAGCAAAAAAGTAGTTCCCATGTAACCCTCAGGCCTCTGTCAATTTTTCCTATTATTACTATCTTGCACTGTTAATTAATAATTAATACACTTGCACTGTTCCTATTATTAATATCTTACACGAGTCCATGTTTTATATAAAGGTGCACTCTGGATTGTGCAGAAAGCATTAATATCTGTTTACACAACGGTCAGGGGATTTCCTTGCAATTTCTGAGGCTGAAACTGAGACTGGATTTTGAGCCAAACTCTCTATTTAAGCTCTCCTGGCCCTGGTCTTCCACAAAAATCAAGTCAAGTGTTTTCTCTCATTCTCATGAGTTTTGTGATCAGCAAGAGGGCTCCTGGACAGCTAGCTGCCCTGGTACGCCCCTAAGCCAGACCATTGTGTAGTATGTCTGGAACCACACAGGGGCAAGTGGATTGGTGACAGGAATCTCCAGGAAAAAATACCAGTCATAGTTCTCCAGATCTGCAAACCCAAAAAGCATGTGGTAACCAGGTGATGGTGATCGGCTGCCACCTGGCCACAGATCTGACATGTGAGAAAGTGCCCATGATCTGCAATCACCCATCTCTTGTATAAACACCCCTAAATCAGCCTTCCCGCAAGATAGACCCAGAAAGTGCCCCATCTGCACCTTCAGCTGGCTTTTTCAGTCACCTTCCTAGTCTCACCAGCTTCCTCAAAGCTATACGTAGGAATTGTGGCAGCAGAAATTCACCCCGGTGAGTTTGAATTTAAATTCCGCCCCACGCTGTCTCCCAGATCCGTTTTCCCCAGGTTGCAACACATATTGTATCCAGGCAGCACTGCTCCTCCTCCTCTGCTTCCCACAGGAAGAGGGCTCTGCACACCAGCCACCCTGCCTCTCTACTACTCGGCAGCACGTCACTGGATTCTGACCTTCCTGACGCCAATGCTTGACGCACAGATGGTGTGCGTTCCCACTCGACACAGATGAAGAAGAGCCCAGGCTGCTTGATCTAGCTCTTCTGACCCAAGGGACATTTCCAAATTGAAGCCAAGTTCAGCCCTGAGATTGCCCAGCGCTTTCTCTTTTATTTCCTGCCAGCTACCTATGGCTGGCGACCAGCCTAACAGCCAAAGCACGGCTGCTCCTCCAGCAGATCCCAGCAGGTGAGACACACAAGACAGCTCCAGGGTGGGCAGGAGGGCCGAAGTGCAGCTGACCTGACCCGCTGCCCTTACAGTGGCTCCTGCCTATGTACCAGGTTCCGTGTTTCTCTCTCACACCAGAGTGATCCTTTGAACAAATACTGTATTTAAAACACGGTAAACTGACCAGGTAATAAAAAAAGAGCGCTCACGTTTAAATATTGTTACATGTGTTTGTACTGCAGTGAAACAGCTATTACAAGCGGTCGGAAAGGACTCTCTCCTCGAGAGGCACGTTGACTTACCCTCCCAGCTTGCAGTCCCCAGTTCCACCTTGCCAGGCTCTGACATACTGAGGGGTGGCCCACAGGGTCACTGGCTTGAAGGATGTACTGGAAAAATAAGGTCCCACTGGGCTCAGGATTACAAAGAGCAGCGCTTTGCTTGGCCTCTTGATTCCAAGAGAAGGCTGTAACACAGTCAACGTACAAACATCGGTAATTAACAATGGAGACAACAGTATGAAAGTGTACAACAGGCTGTAACTATCTTCCACAAAGCCTTTTCAGGTCTTTTTAAGAACACATGGGGCCCAGGATGTAGCTCAGTGGTGCTGCGCCTACCTCGCAAGTACGAGGTCCTGAGTTCGATCTGCAGGACTGCAAAGAAAACATGGTGGATAGAGTAAAATTTCAGTTTTTTTGCTTTTTTAGTTATGATTTTAGAGGAAAAATTAATTCTTGTTGTTGTTATTGATATGATTTTAAAGAAAAGGCTTATTCCCCCCCCCCTCCCTCCCTGTACCAGGGATCAAATTCAGGACCTTGTGCTTGCTAGGGAGGAGTGGTGCCAGTGAGCTAAATCCCTGGCCCCTAGAAAAGGCTTGTTTTTAACCACCAGCTATGTGATTGACACCTTTCAAGTTTGCATTGGTTAAAAATTGAGGAAAGGGGCTGGGGATTTCACTCAGTGGTTCCGCCACCTGCCTTGCAAGCTTAAGAACCCGAGTTTCATCCCTGGTACCAAAAAAAAAAGAGGAAGGGAAGAACCAGGTTTTAGTCTTTAGAGAGCCTTTAGCAGATATTATCTGCTCCTCTAACTAGTGCTCTAAACATGAGAGGACCTCCGGCATTTAGGGACATCAGCTGGTGGGCCCTGACCACACCTGCTTGTGTTACACAACAGCGAGTAAGACTAGCTTTTCTGGACTCAGCTGAGCATGATGGCCCACACCTGTTAACTCCAGAGCTCTTGGAAGCTGAGGCAGGAGGATTGCTACTTCTAGACAAACCTGGGCAACTTCGTGAAACCCTGTCTCAAGATAAAAAATAAATTAAGTACATAAATTTTTTTTTTAAGGCTAGGGACAGAACTCAGTTGGTTCAATCCATATTAATGAGGAAAAAACAGGCACCAGAATGGATAAACACCATCAAAAGGACAGGAGATGAATGATTCAGCAACTTCGCATCACAATGACAGAGAAGAGGACGCAGGTGAGCACTGCAAAGCCCAAAGCCAGCAATACAAATGCATACACGCTTCTTCAACACAAAGCAGTGATAAGTGAGTAGGGTAAAGAAGAAAGTCTAGAGTCTGAAAGTCTGGAAGGCTATCATAAATAAAAAGGGTTATGGGCTGTGCAGTGTAACCCTAGACCACAGGCAATAAGAACAGGGTCGGGACTGTTGCGTGATGGATACGAGAGTGTGCAGAGAGTAAAAGAGGGTGGGACTCATTTGGAGCCTTTGTAATATCAAATCAAGCTGCCTAAAAATAGTTCAGAGTTTAAAAAAAATCTGACTTTCCATCGTATTTCCTTCTCGTTGTCCTGAAATCTCTGACCCACTGCTTGGCACCTAGATCGTCAAGAATCAGGTAGGTGAAATATATTCCTGACCATTAAAATATTTCTGACAGGGTTTTTCCTCAAAAGAATTGAAAACAGAACTAAAACGGCGATATAAGTAGAACTGAAAATGAACTATGCCATGGCCTAGCTCTACTACCCCTTGGTATCTACACAAAGCAGTTAAAATCAACACAGTACCACAGAGATACAGCCTCACCACGATGACTGTGGCACGATTCACAACAGCTAACATGTGGAGCCAGCCTAGAACAAATGGGCAAGTAAGGAAACTACACAAGTCAGCCTTACAGAAGAAGGAAATCCTGTCATTTGCAGGAAAAGGGATAGGACGGGAGATCATCATGTTAAGCAAAAATAAGCCAGACTCAGAAAGACAGACAAGTATGGCATGTTTTCCTCTAATATGTGGAATCTGAAAGAAAAGAAAAAAAAAAGATAACATGAAAAGCGGCAAGCAGACTAGTAAGACTTTCGGTGGGGGGGATAAGGGGAAAGCAGGAGGAGGGTGTAAGGGAGGGGAATAGAAGGAATAGATAGGATCAAAATATACACGTGTGTGAAAATGCCACAATGAAATCTACTGTTTTATAAATTTCAATGTGTGCTAATAAAGTATGTATACTGAAAAAAATCTAACCCGCGTTTGTGTGTCCGTGCTGATGCCACCTAAACAGTGAGCCTTCTTAGGAAATGAGAAGTTCATTCCATCAGACTCGTACAGGAAGGACATGAGGTAAGCAGGGTCTGGGCAGCTACAGAGCAAACCTCTGATGGATGCCTGAGCTGGAGAAATGAGTCAGCCACAAAGAGGGAAGCTGTCTGTGTTTGTCCTTTAACAGGTGACCTTGGATAAAAATAAGGCAACCAATAGAGGATGAGGATCCCGAAAGCCTGCACACTTTGGAAGGGAAAACACTGGCATTAATACACACATCTGCTTTTTTCCCCTCGCTGTGAGAAAATCTGACTATTTGATCACTGTGCTTTTAGTTACCTAACAGATACGAAAGTACAATGTTTCTTCATGTGTGTTCAGCAGCTTCATAATTTAGATTTTTTTAATGAACTCTTGTCAGGAGTTGAGATGCTTCTCAACATTGTCTAAATAATTTATGTAGCTCCTAAGTTTCTGGACAAATAAACTAATAAAGCTAATAAAGTTTTACTCTCTAGCATATGAATGCCTGGGGATGTTTTCTTTCCTCTTGGAACTCATGCGTTTTATGCAACCTGCTGCATTACCTTAAAAGAAGTAACAATGACCCACCATGGTGGACATTTTTCCTGATAAATTTCACGTTGTTTGGGCCTGGCAAAGTGAATGTCTAGCACGCAGTAGGCCCTGGGTTCAATCCCGGGCATCTAAAAAAAAGTCACCTTCCTGACAAGTAGCTTTGCAGTTACTCCACTAGGTGGTAGCATTGAGATCACACAGGGGAAAACAGGGAAGAAATCGGTACATAAAGTCTATTTGTAGAAGAACACCTTGATAGACCATTAACATTCCAATAAATAGGGATGTCAACAGCTCTTCAGGTGGGCAGGTCTGTTGCTACAAATCTGATGGCTTTAGGAACATTGTGATTGACAGCGTTTTTGGAGGATTTAAATAAAATTGATAGAGATTTTTTAAAAACCATGAAAATGGAGAAGATAAAAATTTCAGATGCAGAGACCACAATGGCTTTAGAGTTGAAGTACTCTAAATACTTTTTTTTTAACTTTATAGGTTATATCACTCATAAATAAATCCATGTGTATTTTGCACAAAAGGACAAGGCACTCGGGTATAACAGAAAATAGAAGAGACACGTCTCCATGAAAATTACCACTTCTTTCTGGGTCACTCAGAAATTCCTTCATAGAAAAGCAGAGAGCTCAGCGAGCTGAGAAAATGCTATTAGTCTATGCTTTGACCTGAAAGGGAAAGAAGCTCAGCAGCATGAGAATAATTCTGCCCAGGCAAAGCAAGTAAGAGGGAAGAAATAAGATTACTGAGAATAACAGACAGTCTTAAAAAAAAAAAAAAAAAA